ATTTGACTTTGTTGTATGTGGACTTATTATTAGACTTTGCATTAAACATATTATATATATATGAACATATGCTATTAGTAGTTGTCCGCGACCAAAACTAACCATGATCATGTCACAGCCATGACTCATCGGCAACAAGAAGCGGCTGATATCGCTGGGATGGGAGAGCCGCATGATCCGACAAACAGTGATGGTGTCAATCAGGTCTGTGAGAACGAGCAGCCATGGACCCCGTCCGGCCTGCTCTATCTGGGTCAAAATGACCAAGATGGCCAGGTAACTTTGGTATCATGTCACTATGTAGCCACACACGCTAATCAATTGAGAGGGTCATAGCTTACTTGGTGTCTCTAGCAGGAGCCTCCGCCGGCCAAGGAGCCAGAGGGTTTGGGTAGCAGGAAGGCCAGATCCAAGCGAGGTATGTCAAAGATTCTTGTTGGTAGGAATGCACACTGCCACATTATTGAGTTCGATGAATTCAGGGATCCACTTTCACCGCCTATAGCTTTGACCAAATACAAGACTATCCTCAGGTTACTTGTTAGGGACTTCATCCCGATTAAGTACAGGAAGTGGATTGGGAAAGATGATGACCGGTGGATGGTTCCCGAAAGCAAGAAGGATTACATATGGGATGTCAAGATCCTAGAGTATTTCACTTTCCCAGCCAAGTATGACAGGGAGTTAGTCAAGAAAAAAGCAAAAGAAATCATGGGGACATGCTTCAAGAATTTCAAGGGGACATTGTACAAGAATTTTGTCCTCCAAAATAAAGAGCCAGATTTCGATGGTGGATAGTTTGGCAAGCAGAAGGACTTCTGGCAGAATTTCAAGGAATATAGGTTATCCGAGGAGTACTTAGAACTAAGCAGGAAGAATAAGGAGAATTCGCAGAAAGCGATGAATGCTCATCATCTCGGCTCTCGTGGCTACGCCAAAAAGATGCCAGAATTTGAAGTAGAACTTCAAAAGATGGATCGCCTTGCTGAGGAAGGCGTTTAGGTTGAGACTGCCAATTGGGAGCCTAGATCGATATTATACTGTATGGGGAGAAATGTACGGCATGCCGAGGACGGGAGCTTTAGCTCCTCAAATCAACCCATGAGCGAAGTCATCTAGAAGATCTCCCAGGTAACTGAGGAGGTGAGGCAAGGGACTTGCACTTCTAATAGGGAGAACAATGTGCTCACCCAAGCACTCGAAACCAAGGAGCACCCTGGTCGCACTAGAGGAACCGTTGTTGTTCCTAGGAAACTAACATTCCCCCAAGAATCTAACACTTACCGGAGCTGCTCGAGGGGTAGAGCGGAACATGAGGTAGAGTATTTGAGGAGATTAAAAGAGATGGAAGACAGAATGGAAGCATGGATTGAGGCGACCATTGAAGCGCGAGTCGAGCAAATTTTGTTGTCCAAGGGGTGAGTAGTACCACAAAACCCTACTCCTAGTGCCTTTAGCCCACAGTTTAGGGGTCGCAGTAGCTACAGATCGACCATGCTCGATGAAGAAAAGGCGAATGTGCCTCATCCGGTGGATGACATCACTGAACCCATCAATGTTAGGTTGTACATCCGTCAGGAATGGACAAAGGACAAGGTGGCACTCGGCCAGGCCTGGCCTACAGGAGATGGGACAATTAATGGCTGCCTAATTCCACTAGGGTACGCTCGTGTCACCATTGATAGAATACTTGATAAGAAGTATAACAAGATACCCATTGAGTACCCCGTAGCGGAAGACAGGCCGAAACTTGGTCAAAACAAGGGCTCTCAAGTCGCCTGGCGCAAGCGCTTCATTAAGCTTGACCATAAATTGTCCTCTGATGATGAGGACGACTGCGAGTCTTCGCCCACCCGCGATGATCACTCACCATCTCCCAACAGAGATCACTCCCCTCCTCATCCGGAGCCATCACCCCTGAGAAGATAGAGGTCTCCTTCTATTCCTCCTCGTCTGACTCCATCTTCATCAGCCCCGAGAAAAGAGACTCCTCCTCCTCCTCCATCTTCATCAGTGCTGGGAAAACAGAATTCTCATCGTCGTCCTCCTCCTCCACCTCAGCCCAAAACAAGATCAAGGACATCCTCGCAGTCACAGAAAAGGTCCTTGGATTCGGTCGCTAATGCTCCCAAAGTGGACCAACATAAAAGAAAAAGGACGTTCAGTGGCAGCGTTACCACCTTGATGAAAGACAAATTTACAGCACACATCTTGAAGGAAGATTGTGTTAGTTTCTTCAATCTATGTGCCTCACTGCCTCCGTTTTTGTTGAAGTCTGAATTCGAAGGCAAACACAGAATAAATACGCTACAACAAGAGACGAAGAAATACACAATAAAGATTTAAGGAACATTATGAAGTTAGTTGAAGACAACCCTGATTTAACCATGGAAGAGGCCGCGAACATCTATTATGATGTACAAGGGACGGGAACACCGGCAATGAAGTATGAAAGGGGCAATCTTTTGGTTCCCGATCACGAGTATAAAAATCTGACAACATATATGCGTCAGTTACATGAATATTACATGGCTCAAGCAACAGAGACGGATGACTTTGGTTTTGAGGTTATTATCCGTTTGCCACATGTTTTCCAATATCCTGAAGAAGAGAAGTTCAATGTCGAGTGGGAGTGCTTGTTCCAGCTATACCAGAAACTCTCTCTCGATGTTCAAATGTTGACACTGTGGACTATGTAAGTACCCTACACGCACGATATTACAATTAACTACTCTCTCGAGACAAAATTGTTAACTTTTGAGCACTTCCCATGATTTTATGTAGGTGTATAGCAAAATTTTGCATTCTAAAAAGCAAATGGGATTACATAGGCTTCTTGGACCCCATGTGAGTCAATGATAGGACATGTCTAGGCCTCTATGGATGTGACGTTGAAGACCTGAAACAGAGATTGATTGCTGTTTTCGATGAATTCACGATGAAGAAGAAAACCCACATACTTCTAGCCTACAACTGTGAGTATGTGTTCTCGGCTTTTAATTTTATGCTTCTTTTTTTGTTAAGATTATTCGATAATTAGGATTCTGTGATTGCAGCAACCATTTCGTCTTCATTTGTGTTAATCTTGCCAAAAATCTGCTCGAGGTGTGGGACTCGAAGAAAAAACCATTTCATCATCTGGATGCACTGGTGGTAGTGCTGAATTAGTAAGCGATCCTAATAACTATTATTTTCTAATCACACATACCGCTTTCTAATGTTTCTCCTTTTAATGTTGCTCAGTGTTCGAAGAAGACATATCGGTGGAACGCCGGTCCCATTCAAGGTTGTCGAAATAGAGGGGAAGTACCTATCATAGCCGGCAGGAAACAATGAATGCGGGTTTTATGTAATGTGGGCAATGCTTCGCTACATCGGCGGGAAATTGAAAGAAGCCGATAAGTTGGTGTGTATAATCTCCATTTCATTTATGTCTGTTAATAATTCAACAAAATGATTTACTATTCCTCTTTGGATATCATCTTTTTTTAACGACAGTGCAAGAAATATAAGCATGAAAGGCTGCTAGACATGGAGATCGTCGCACAATCGGAGTTGGCAAAATTCATCTTAGCCAAGGTATTGGAAAGAGATGGAGTATTTTCCATTGCACAATCCGTGAAGTACAAGGACCAGTATGGCCCAGAGTGGCTCGCCAGATTATTGTAGGAAGTCCGAGAAGCATGTGTGAAGTCCAAGAACATTTCTTTTTTATTTTGAGGGATCGAGATGTGGATAAGAACATTTGAATTGTAATCGTAACATTTGTAATGTTTAATATTGATGGAACTGTCATCTACGTAGCGTATATAAAGCGAAACCCGATTCCACAAAAAATATAAATTAAAATAAATTATAAAACAATAAAATACGAACAGGCCATCACCGCCGGTTAGCAATAAACCGGTAGTGTTGTCGTAGCCATCACTGCCGGTTAGAAGGAAACTGATAGTGTTGGCTTGCTCAACACTGCCGGCTTGAACCATGAACCGACACTGATAGTTATGAGAACACTACCGGTTTGATCCATGAACCGACACTGATATTTACTACAACACTGTCGGTTTGATCCATGAACCGACAGTGTAGGCTTGCTCAACATTGCTGGCTTGAGCCAAGAACCGACACTCTTGAAGCAACCGTCACTGTCGGTTGGCCCTACAAACCGGCAGTGTTGTTCAACTGGACACTGCCGGGTGGACCCAGGAACCGACACTATTTCCTGTAGATCAGTGTCGGTTTTTAAGGACCGATAGTCATGTTAACCCCCCATCACTGTCGGTATGCCACTATCGGTTCAAAATCCGGCAGTGAAGTGGGTTTTTGAACTGGCAGTGATGTCCAGATCTAGGGTAGTGTGCGTGCTAACCAAAGTCAATTTGATGATCAACCTTTCATTCCTTCGCTCTCAGCTTCTCCAACCTAGAAGCCGAACGTCCCACCTGATGCCGCAGCGCTGAGCAAGGCCGCACCACCGAGCAACTCTTTGTTAGAGCCGCTGATGGCCACTACATCTCTATCTTGCCTGAATGAACTGCAGGTTCCCCCCGTCAGCGACCACGACATCGCGACACAACAGCGCCCACACCTCGCTGCAGAACGTCGCTTCCGCACGGGACGAGTCTACTCTAGGCGGACATGTGTTCCACCCCACACCGAAAGTAGGCACAACCGGCAGGAAGCGCCCAGGTTGTGCGGTTCCTCCCTGGCCTCATCTACTCCAGACGCTATGCCGTGGAACGGCCAGTAACTGCTCGCGCCATCATCGCATGGCAAATAGCCTCCTGCAGCAACAGCCGGAGCAGACCAGCACCACTCTGGAGGTACAAGACGCTGGCCAAAGCACACCTGTCACTGCATCGGCGGTGTCAGAATTCCTAGAGGGGATCTCACAACCTCTACCTGAACCCATCTTGCAGGTTCCAGTGCGCCAGCCCAGCCCGCCACAGTGACGCAAGAGGCCCCTGGTCCCGGCACATAGGAGCGTGCGCATTGCAGCCATGAACTGCCCAAGGGGTGATACTCAGGCGAAGGGTGGGCAGGTGCTTATGAAAAGGCTTAGCATCCTCGATGTGGAAGGACTCAGCCATGACGAGGCATTGCTGCGCTACTTCAGCCTGTTCAAGGAACCACTCACCGACGATGTCGTGAAGGCTCTGACGGCATTGTGAGGCCTCGACGCTGTGGTAGCGCTACCCACTATGCACGCCTAGATAGCTGCTGACGCACATGGGTAGATCAATGTACTAATGTTAGTAATCGATCACCGCTCCAGGAGTTCTAGGAGTTCCACATCTTTTGTGAGCGTCCAGTCATGGTGCTTGGGTGGGCCGACAGCCAGAGGCCTACAGTCACCTCCCCACCACACTGCAAGGACCCTTCATCTGGTAGTTAGCTGTAGCACCAACTCTGTGAGCAAGAAACTCTTGCTTTGTATCACTGCGCCGACTGCCACTGGCTTTTAGATGTATCAGCGACTCCAATTTGCTGCTTTCATGACCATGTGCCTCTGTGTGATTATCTTTGTGCTTATTGCTAGTACCATAGCCCCAGATGGCTTCCTGCTTGCCTCCCTCCACAGATTAATCTTAATTAGGGGCCCATTGGTTTCCTTATGGCACATCTAAATTGTCAATTACTTAACTGGAACGTCAGAGGCTTGAATGATGGCGCCTGTCAAGACTCGGTGAGCGAGTTAGTGAGAACCACTAGTGCCACCATCGTATGTCTACAAGAAACAAAGATGCAAGTTATGGATCATAATGTGGTGCGCCGAACAGCCAGAGCAAAATTTGTAAACTCCTATATTGTGCTCCTGGTGGAACAGACTCGAGGAGGCGTCTTCCTTGCGATGAATGAAGACTTCTTCGACCTCTCCGACATTGTACTTACCTCGAACGCTATAACCGCGCAGATCAACATGAGGGCGGATGGAACAAGGTGGCAAATTATAATGGTATATGGCCTGCAGGGAGAGGCACCCAAACTTCAATTCCTCCAAGAATTGAAGAACATTCCCCTACCGGAGCATAATAGATGGCTCATCCTGGGAGACTTCAATCTCATCTACCAGGTAGAAGACAAGAACAACTCCAATCTAAACCGGTGCCTCATGGGGGCATTTAAAGCCACGATCGGTCATTTGAGGCTCAAAGAAATCAAGCTAAATGGATGCCGCTTCACTTGGACCAATCAGCAGGACAACCCGACGCTCACTAGAATTGACAGACTACTATGTACCCCCGAGTGGGAGCTATTCTTCCCCACGTGTTTCTTACACTCCCTTCCATCGCTCATGTCGGACCATACCCCGCTGCTACTCTAGGGAGACCTTGACCACCATCGGAACACGTCCTTCCGCTTCGAAAATTACTGGACTAAGATGGAAGGCTTTCAAGATCTTGTCCAAAACACTTGGAATAGGCCGGTCGCCTCTGCTCTTCCTATGAAACGCTTGCATATCAAAATGGCGCGTGTGGCAAAAGGAATCAAGCGTTGGAAGAAAGACAAGATAGGGGATACGAGGATGCAGCTCGCCATAGTGAAAGAAGTACTGTTACAATTAGAAGCAGCCCAAGAGCATAGGTTGCTCACTGGCATGGAGCTTCACCTATGTCGCCGCCTCAAAGCCCGTAGCACTGGGCTCACAGCCATTGAAAAATCAAGAACCAGACAGAGATCAAGGCTAACATACATCCGGTGTGGAGATGCTAACACTAAATTCTTCCATAGTAGAGCCAATGCACGCCGAAGAAAGAATTACATACATTGTCTACATACGGATGGGGGGATCGCGGTGGCTCATCAAGAGAAAGAAAAGGTGACACGAGATTACTTTAAAAATCACATTGGCGCCGTAGTTCCGAGAGCTTCCACGGTCAATTGGCAAGCCCTTGGCTACAACCAACATGATCTCTCCGATCTGGAGGTGCCTTTCTCCTAGGAAGAGATAAAAACACTATATATTCCATGCCTTCCGATAAAGCGCCAGGCTCGGATGGCTTCACGGGTGCCTTCTTCAAAGCTTGTTCGGAAATCATTAAAGATGATGTTATGGTAGCCATGAACAGCCTATTCACTTTGAATGCCTAGGGTTTTGAATGGCTAAACTCGGCTTGCATCATCCTTCTACCCAAAAAAATAGATGCAACAAGAGTTACTGATTTTAGACCCATCAACCTCGTCCATAGCTTTGCAAAGATCTTCTCCAAAGTGTTAGCTAACAGACTTGCCCCTCGACTGAACTCCCTCGTCTCCAACTGCCAGAGCGCATTTATAAAAAAAAGAAGCATCCATGATAATTTTCTTTACGTCCAGGGTGCGGTACAAAGGCTACACAAGCAAAAGATACTAGCTTTGTTCATGAAACTAGACATCCATAAAGCTTTTGATATGGTACATTGGGGGTACTTGCTTGAGATTCTACAAGCTCTAGGCTTCGAACAGCGATGGCGTGAATGGATCTCTATCCTCCTACGTACATCCACCTCGACACCCTTGCTTAATGGGCGGCAGGGGGCCACTTTTAGCCATGCTAGAGGCGTCCGATAGGGATATCTGCTTTCACCCATGCTATTCATCCTAGCTATGGACCGCTTCAACGTTTGCTTGACCAAGCAACCCAACATGGGATACTCACCCCCTTACCAATCACGGCGGCAAAATGGAGAACCTCTATGTATGCAGACGATGCGGCCATTTTCATCAACCCGACAAAATACGATGTAGAAGCCGTCAAAATCATCCTACGGGCTTTTGGCACATTCTCAGGACTCCATATTAATCTACAAAAGAGCTCAATGCATCAAATCAGTTGTGCAAACGTCGACCTAGAATAGGTCCTGTCACCTTTCACCGGTACTTGAGGGGGCTTCCCATGCAAATATTTGGGGCTGCAACTCCACATCAGATCACTGCAAAAGATCCATGTGCAACCTCTCATAGACCGTATTGTGCAAAGGTTACCCAAATGGAAAGGAAGATGGCTAAACAGAGCGGGACACCTCACTCTAGTAACCTATGTCCTCTCCTCCATGCCAACCTACCACCTGATAGTGTTTCCTCTGGCTGCATGGGCTAAGAAAAAGATCGACAAAATCAGGAGATCTTTCTTGTGGAAGGGGAGGAGAATGCCAATGGCGGACACTACCTAGTTAACTAGCAAACAGTTACCAGACCAAGAGACCTTGGTGGTTTAGGCGTCCCTAACCTCGACAGATTTGGGAGAGGCCTCCGGTTGCGATGGCTTTGGCAAGAATGGGTGGACGATTCCAAGTCTTGGAGCGGCTCGGAGCTCCCATGTTCTGATGATGATCGTCTCCTCTTCAACTCCTCAATCATTATAACTTTGGGGGATGGTGCAAACACTAAGTTTTGGCACCACAATTGGCTTGATGGACAAGCTCCTAGGTACCTAGCCCCGAACTTGTTTCGCCTTGTCTCAAGGAGAAACCGAACGGTGCAACAAGAGCTCCGAAATAACAATTGGATGCACAAGCTAGGAAGGGAAATCACCTTGGCTGTCCACATAGAGGAGTTTGTGTCCCTTTGGATATGAATACAGGATGTGCACCTACAACAGGGCATCTAGGACACCATCATTTGGCGATGGACCAAGGATGGGAATTACTCCACCCGCTCGGCCTATATAATTCAATTCAAAGGCTCGCTCGTCCCCTTCCGTACGTATTTGATTTGGAAAGCGCATGTGGAGAACAGATGCAAGATCTTCACCTGGATCTTAGTACAAGATAAAATTCTAACGGCGCAAAACCTACAAAGGAGAGGGTGGCCACACCAACAACAATGCGTGCTGTGCAACGGTCCCTTAGAGACCGGCCTCCACCTATGCCTATGTTGCCCTTTTGCTAAGGCAGTTTGGGATCAAATCCTCTCGTGGGAAAACTTCACTCAACTTCAACAGCAACCCCAGGTAGACCCCACCCATATCAGGTCATGGTGGGAAGAGGCGGCAAGGAAAGTGCCAAGATCTGAGCGTAGGCGGCTTAATGGGGTAGTAATCTACACCTTTTGGAATATTTGGAAACAGAGAAATAGGAGAATTTTCGACAACAAGATAGAAACGGCGCCGCAAGTAGCCGCAAGGATAAAGGAAGACATAGAGCAAAGGAAGAGAGCACTCGCTTATGTTTAGCTGTTGCCCCCCCTTTGGGCCGTGTGTTTCCCTCCTTTACATGCTTGTGGGGGTTCGAAACCCTAATCTCGAGTGTCCCTGCTTGTACATAAACTTTCTTTCCCTATCTTAATTGAAAGGCGGAGCTCCTACCATTGCATTCAAAAAAAAATTTCTAGCGAGACTTCGAATATGGAATGGTCTCTTTCAAGAGTTTGGAGTGGGGGTACGACACAATCCCGCTCCAACTCTCATGCCAGACTCGAGCCCTGCCCCCTCAAGTTCCACCGACGTAGTGATAGGGTCACCGTGCATGGCCAAGGTCCGCAAGAAGCCAAGGAGGACGGCGAGCTCTGACGACGGCGCGGCCACGAAATAGCCTAGGCCAAAAACTTGGGCCGACAACCCGCCCAAGCCACATGTTTCTCTTCCATTGGCCAACCTCGTCGCTAAGCTTTTTTTTTAATAACATGACAATGTTTTTTTAAAAAAGAGGAGAAAAGGTTCCACAATGTCCAAAAGTGAACACTAACCCAGTCTCTAGTCTTAGCTTTGCCGGAGCTCATGATCTCCGACGACGGCAACCTGGTCATCATAGCCCATGGCACCAAGCACTACGTGAAAAACGCTTTGTAGGGGCGGCTGCAGATCGTTTGTAGAGGCGGCTCAGCCAGCCGCCCCTACCATACCGTCTCTACAAATCATGCATTTGTAGGGGCGGTTCCCAAACCACCCTTACAAATCGATTTTTAGGGGCAGCTGATAACACCAGCCGTCTCTGCAAATCGATTTGTAGGGACAGCTACAGTACCAACCGCCACTACGGTATATTTTTCCGCTAAAAAAATTCAAATTTACAATTCAAATTCGACCAGAACATTTATATAATTCAAATCTGACCAAAACATATATAATTCAAATCAGGCATACTGACAATCTACAAGTGCCGTCACAACTTGTTATATAATTCAAATTAGGCATACTATAATAATAACCTCAAAAAGCGCGTGAGTAATTTTTATTTTTCCAAGTGAAATTGAGTTCTAACGTTGTAACTAAAGGCCTGATGACACCAGCCGGCAACCGTTGATGCCATCTCTGATGTCTCGAACTCCTACCATCTACCAACTGAACCATGGCAGCATCCTCCGGCCGGCTACAGAGTGCCGAGGCAGCGCTAGTGATCCTCCGTGAAGGCCGCGTCGCGGTGGCAGAACGCGGCCTCGGCAGACACGAGCTGCAGGATAGCCGGGGACAGCGGCGCCACGCACAGGCCTCGCCTGCATAGATCCATCATGCCGCCATCTTCCTCGCCCGTGTCCTGCCAACCACATAAGCGATTCAAAGCTTTCAGTTTTGTGTACAAGCGTCGCGTGACCATTCAGTAAGAAGCTGATGCAATGCAACATCTGGCTCACCTGGATCTGCTCGTGGAGATGCTTGATGTAGGTAGCTGCCTCATGGAGCACTGATGCCGTATCGGTTTGCACACGCGGGTAGATCTTATTCAGGTTTTAGAGACACAAACGCTCTTCAGATTGGCGCATGCTATGCATGCAGATCACAAATAGGAATACACACACGGCATGGGCGGCAAAAGGTCGACAAACTGCTGGAGCTTTACCTTGCCATACGGGGAGACGAGTCTTTGAAGCGCCATGATTTTGTCTCCGACCACTGGCTCCTCTTACATGGTGCCTGCACAAAGTATATAATAACCAAAAAAGGAAAAACATTCAGAATACGAACGTTGGTGATGTTGATGTCCGGGATCGAGGCGGGGCATCGAAGCCGACTTGCTATGCATACAAACGGGGTTTACATGCGAACAAAACAACCTCGGTTACCTTCATCATAGACTGATTTCTTGTTGGTTTCGGATTGCACCGTTGGTCGTGGTTGTGGACCTTGTCTTTGTCATTTGGTGTCGTTGTCTTGAGCCTCTTTGATCCCTTGAGGCACATTTGCCATCACCGGTCACCGTCTCCCAGCACGCCGTCCATTTCATCGAGTAGTCTTGTGAAACAGGCATGTCCAAGACGCAAGCTTAATACTAGAACCATTAGCATGATACTAGAAGGTTTCAACTTGAACAATGTGAAGAGAATCACAAGTGCATACTGACAATCTACAAGTGCCGTCACAACTTGTTATTTCTCGTGAGGATGTGGTCCAAGTAATCAGGCATCCCA